TCCGGTCTATCTCTTATCTGAATATACTGTATGTACCGTTTAAATAGTTTATGTAGAAAAGGTACATTTAAAACAGTTAAACATTATACTAAAAGCAGTGATACTGTTTATTTGAATCGCGAACTCGTGAATGATCGGAATACTTTTACCTAAACTAATTAAATACAATTAGATTGTTCTATTTTGAGCAAGTTAACTCATTTTAAACGTTCGTTAATTTTAAATAAATTGGTTTACTCAATCTAAGTAAACGGCTTATTAAATTTAATCAAACGATTTCGTTTTGATTCAACTAAACTACATAGTTTAGTAGATTCAAGTAAACTGTTTTCTAAATCGGAGATTAATTAAGAAAATCAAACTTGCCAGCTGTCACGTGGTTAAAGGCATAAATAAAATTTTGATTGGTTTTTTCTTACATATTCTATTAATCGCCAAATTGTATGTAGTCAGCTAAAAACAAAATCTACATGATTGGACCATGGAAATATTCGTCAATCTTGACGCCCAAATGCTTGACTGAGCTACTTTGAGGCAGTACGAGCCCCTTCCCACTTCAGTTGGCCCAACTATTGAAATATTAGTTTTTTTCTTATCAAACAAATAATAAAAATGTAGCATTCCATGTTGACTGTCTGAAGAGAAATTTCCAGCATCCATTATGGTCTGGGGCAGTGTGTCATCAAAAGGAGTAGTAAAATTTCATTTTATTGATGGAAATGTGGATACAAACAAATATTTGCCAAATTTAGAAGAAATTGCTTTTACCAGTGATGGAAGAATGTTTGAAATCCGGCCAAGGTTTTGTGTTTCAGCAAGATGGTGCAGCGTACCATACCTCAAAAAAGGCTATAAAAGGGATGGAAGAAAATAATGTACCACTTTTGAAATGGGTTTCTAGCAGTCCAGATCTGTCACCTATTGAAACTTCTTTGTGGCACGAAATGAAAAAGGTTCTACAACATCCTGCTCGTACAATCACCGAACTCAGACAAAAGCTTCAAGAAATATGGGATTGTTTTACACCAAATTTTTGCCAAAACTTGCCCCAAAGAATTTCAGCCGTAATAAAAAATAAAAGTGATGTTACCCAATAGTAATCTTTCAATTGTTGCTTTGTTAACTTCGTGCATTTATTCGCACATTGTTTATTTGTTCAGAAGTTCTATTAGTTATATTTCTAAGTGATTTCAAAAATGTATTTTTACAACTAGAGTGTATCTAAAATGTTGTTGAAAAAATAAATTGTTTTAGAAGTAAATAGTTTCGTCATGTTTTAGTTTATAAAGGCATATTTTGGTACAAATCTTGAAGTGGGCCAACTGAAGTGGGAAGGGGCTCGTATATGTCCCTTATCTACTGAAGCAAACGATTACCCAAAAACTTGCCGTAGAACAATTAATTATGTAACTGTTTTTGAGCCGTCCTCTATCGACACAGAAATCGTACGAATTCTCACGCTATTGCTTAAAATCACTCCAGTTTCGCCAGCCCCCGTAGGTTTCTCGCAGAACGTGGAAATGGCCCCTTTTCCTACATTTCCCGACCAGCACCATGATTTCCTTTCTCTCCACACTCGCCCTGCTCGCGGCTCAGGAGGCTAGCTGTGACGCGTCACCATAGCAACAGCGTGCACCGATGGGCGGGGCTTGAAACGCGCCGCGAATCACAGTCGGCCGCAAACTGATAGCAATCGATAACGCGAAGGTGGCTGTGAGCGAACGCGTGTGACGTCACGCCGCTGCGATGTGCATTAAATTTGAACATCGATGATCCCGCAGCCAACTTTGTTATTTGATAACCGGCAGGAAAGAATCTTCGTCGGAAAGAGATTTATGAAAGCGATCGGAGAGTATCGATTCGCGACGTTTCAGCTGGGAAACTTATTTTCGGTGATATTCAATATCGTAGGTTATTTGTTGAGCGCAAATACGACCTACAGTATATTCAGATAAGAGATAGACCGGACATAAACAAGACCACGTGATCATCGAACGCTGTAACATTCGGCAGGGACGTATTAAGAGTCACGCAGTACATATTTTAGATAGTAGATGCTGCTTTGCGTAACTTTGTAGTAAATTAGCACAATTCGATGTGTATACGATTGGTGATGGATATAGGATCATGTGGGGGTGGGGTAAGAAATATATAATGATGTAAATATACATAAGGGTTTCAAAATTTTCGCTTCGATTTCCAGCTTCGGATGCCGCCTGATGTTTGGTGAAATACAGTCGAATATAATCTCAAAATGGCGTTTAAATTAGCCTAAATTAAAAATAATCGTATATCTCTTAAAATTGCTTTTAGAATATTGATTAGTATATTTTTTGATTTCTAGGTAAGTAAATATGTAACCAAATTAAAACGTTCAAAACGTAAAAAAATGTGCATGGTTGAACATTGTCAGAAAGTAGATTCTTGAATAGGTTTTGCGGCAATGGGTTCAAAAATGTCAATAATTAATTAGAAAATACAGTAGCTTTATAATTACTTATAACTTACCGAATTTGATGAACGACATCTTTTATTGGAAAGATGAGCTTGATGAGCTTTCATCATCACTACTGCCTGAAGCACCAACGTCAATAATGAATGGCTCGACGCTCGACTTGTTCCTCTAAAATATTGTCCAGTTCCCACATTCTCTTTTCAACTTTGTCTTTCACGTGCTTAATACAGTTTTCCCATTTTTGCGCTGTTATTAATTCTAGTGCTTCTTTGAAAAGTCCTTTGAGGTCACAAAATTTAAAAGTTGTATTATGCTTAGCTATATAATTTTTAACCTCTGCCCATATGAGCTCAATGGGATTGAGCTCGCAATGGTATGGAGGTAAACGGAGCACAGTTTTATTTTGACTTGCTGCCATTTCGTCAATGGCGTATTTTTGATATTCCGCCTTGTGATCCTTGACAATTCTTAATAATTGTACTTTCAGCATTGCTTCTTCAAAGTTGATATTTTTCGAGCGGAGCCAATTTTGAACATCAACTTTCCTTGAAGCCGTTGTTGGGACCTTCTCCATTCTTCGAGAATGATAAGACGCATTATCCAACACAATTACTGCGTTTTCCTCTAAGTTCGGTAAAATTTTTGAAAACCACTGTTCAAACGATTCGCCATTCATTTCCTCGTGGTAATCTCCAGTTTTCTTAGACTCAAAGCACCACAGACCGTCAACAACAATTCCATCCTCACTGCCAATATGGCAGATAATGAGCCTTTTCCCTTTACCTGGAAATCGAAGTACTAACTGGTGTAGATTTATTTCAATAAGCGAACCTTTTTCAAATGTTTGCATCACATTCAGCGAAAAAACATTGAGACATGAGTATCAGATTGCTATAATTGGGATTATTTAGTCATATTGAAAGAAAGAATATTGAACGTCGTATAATTACTCAGCGCTTCACAATTTAATTTAAAGTTATAAACCTTTAAAAAATGAATGATCAGGAACCTGAAATACGCGCAAATATTAATATTAACAAATTATAACTTTATAAAGCTTAAAGTATGAATTAAAATGATTAGAAATATTAGGAACGGTACACAATATAAAACTTAGTAACTTTTTTTAAGTTTATAATATTCGACATATTTTAAGATTATATTAAAAAATTATTGAAATATCGAAAACACATAAAAACATGGCTTAAAAAAGTTCTAACAAATGAAACTGACAATAAAACATCCACGCATTTTATTGAAAGTTATAAAAGTTTTGTTACTTGTAATATGTTTTATCTGCCCCCTGGAATTAATGTTTAGAACCTTGTTCCCAAGGTTTGAAAAACATCCGATTGTTGTCTATTACTCGTATTTATCTGCTGGATTTTTTAATCCGGTGGACAGTCCATCTAGAAAGGCCCTCCTGGATGAAGTTACAGAATCATCAACCCATACTTTACTTGTAGTGTGTCCTGCGTTTACCCACGTTTCATCAAGGTAATAAATCTTCCTGTTTTGATTTCTATATTTCCCAATTTTTGTTAAATAATCCCTCCTCCATAGCACAATTTCTTCTCTATCCAGTAGTAAACCATTACGACCCCGTTTTTTCCATTTGAAATTTAAATGCTTCAGTAACGCTTGGAAAGTTTATCGTTTGAAATTTGGCAACGTTGTATCTCCATTTACCTCCTGCAGTACTTTATCTATAGTAGGTATTTCATTCCTAAAGAAGAATTCATGCACTTTCCTCCTAATCGCATGCTTATCAGCTTCATCCAATGATTTAACAATACTTTTGCGATGTTTACTGGTCATTGGCTCAGAAAAGGTGTGATTTTTTTTGTATTGTCTTAACACATTAAATACTGATGCGCGACACACCCCAACTTTGTGAGAAACCTTCACAACAATTTCTTTGATGGTTAATGCCTCGTTCTCCTCACGCTCGATCTTATATATATTCAAAATGACCTCTTTCATTTCTGCACTCAGGTGTCTTTTTTTAGAGCGTTTCCTAGGTGGACTACAGGAGTTTACAACTTCATCGGCAGTATCTGTACTACTGGGCATTTTGCGCAAGCAGTTGATAACAATAACAATCAATAACAAGGTTAACAAACAATAACAACGACAAACTCAACAACTTAATAAGATAACAAACGAAAACGTCCAAAGAAATATCAAATTGCAATGATGCACACGACATACGTAACACGTCTGAACCTGAATGTGACTCTGCCTTGATACGACTGCTCTGCCGCTCGGCATAGGCATTTAATTGCGAATTGACCAATGAGGGCTCCTGTTTTACGTCGAGACGGCGGCGTTAGCGTGAAAATCACCCGAACCTTTTGTTTACATCCGGTCTATCTCTTATCTGAATATACTGTAGTTTGTTTTTTCTTCTCCCAACCTCCCATATCAAACTCGTCATTCGGAAGAAATGCCAGCGCTAGGGCGCTTCCTGTTGGTCAAGCATAATACGCATGTAACAAACGTCTTTTCTCTTATTTCCAGGCGAAAAACCGCACAAGTGCACCGTATGCGGCAAAGCGTTCAGCCAGTCTTCGAACCTGATCACGCACTCTCGCAAACACACCGGCTTCAAACCTTTCGCCTGCGATCTCTGCGGTCGCGCCTTCCAGCGCAAGGTCGACCTCCGGAGGCACAAGGAAACGCAACACACCGAACTCAGACCTATCGTCACCTAGTGCCAAACGGCCGGAAGCGGCCAGTCGCTGCAACGCAAGTGTTCAACGGTATGTGTTGGACCAGGAATTAAATGATGCTATGTAACCAAAGATAAAGTGAAACTGTACCAAAGCAATGTAGAAAGAAAGTCGTTGAAAAAATTACGCAACACAATAAACTTGAACAGGGTCCCTTAATCTTGATCATCAAGGGGTTTTCCAAACGGACGCAGGAAAGTAAACGCATATTAAAACAAGAAAGATTGATATTCAAATCAAGTTGGGTACTTTATTTTGAAGGTTCATTTATACTATTTATGTATGAAAAATAATATCGCTCAAATGTTCACCACGACTGGATTTACAGACGTTCACGCGATGGTCGAAATTTTCAATGACATTTTGCAACATGGTCGGTTCTATGGCATTTATCTCGGCAATGATGTTGTTTTTGAGTTCTTGGAGGGTGGCTGGTTTGTTGACGTAGACTTTGCTTTTCAAATATCCCCATAAAAAGAAGTCCAAGCACGATCTTGGTGGCCATGGCACATTTCCTCTGCGCGAAATCACGCGATCGTCGAAGAATGACTGCAATCGATGGATATTGACGTTGGTTGTGTGGCATGTTGCACCGTCTTGTTGGAAATAAACATCGTCCATATCCATTCCTTCAAGTTGCGGCAAAAAATAGTCCTCTATCATCACGTGATATCGCTCAGAATTGACGGTAACGGCGTCCCCTGCCGCATTTTCGAAAAAGTGAGGTCCGATGATGCCTTTTGACCACAATGCACACCACACAGCCACTTTTCGAGGATGCATCGGCTGCTCTTGATACTCACGGGGATTTTCGTTCGCCCAGATGCGGCAGTTTTGCTTGTTTACCGTCCCATTCAAAGTGAAATGCGCTTCGTCGCTGAACATGATTTTTGATGAAAAATTGGCATCAATTTGGCGGTGTTCAAGGAGCCAATCTGAGAACGTTCGGCGCGAAAAATGGTCGGCCCGACGCAGCTCTTGCGTCAATTGGATCTTGTAGGCGTGTACATTCAAATCCTTGTGGAGAATGCGGAGCAAACTGGTTCTCGAAATGCCCAATTCTTGGGATCGTTGATTGTTTCGGATCGTCTCTCACACTCTCCTTCACAACAGCAATATTTTCCGGTGTGCGAACGCTCCTTGGCCGGCCAGAGCCTGGCAGATTTGCCACAGAACCTGTTGCCTCGAATTTACGCACCAGACGACCGACGGTCGTTTCGTTTGGGCGGTTGTTGCGACCGAAATGTTCGCGAAGCGCGCGAAACGTGTTTTTTATTTTTGCACCATTTTTGTAGTGCTCTTGAATAACTTTAATGCGGTCTTCAATCGAGTACGACTCCATAGCGATCAATGGTAAACATTCAACTAACAAAATGACATGTCGGTGACAGAAAACAAAGATGGCGTCTATGTCAAATTGACGTTTACTTTCCTGCGTCCTTATTGGACAACCCTTACTTCAGAAGAGAGATACAAAAACTTGTCTCCAAGTTGTCAAGGTGACCTTTCAGACTGCGTTTAGTCTCCGAAGGGCATTTCGAGGTCAAACACACGGTCATCACGTAATGCAATAACTTGAGAGGTATCAGAAAAGGACTGAAAATAGGACGAATGTGCATGTGTATTTCAGAAAGGCGTGCTAATATTTCTGGTGTAGATTTTTTTACATAATATGTCGAACATACAACAATAGTAATTGATAAGTGAATTTTGAGACTCAAACCGGTCGAGTGTTACCATGATGGTATTTTTCGACTCAACCGTACATCCCAATATGAAATTTATCTTTTTTGAAGGCTCAAAAATGAGTAAAGTGATAAATATATTATTATAGATTTATGTTTTTTGTAAAACTACATAAAGATATTGTATGTGACCAATTTATTTCAAAACTATCAAGGTAAATTGGGTGACAAAGTGGTGAGCGAGTGATTATGTACTGCAGAGTAACCACGACTTCTTTTTAAAATTATAATTCCGAAATTCATATGGAAGATTATTGTATTACTCGGCAGCTGCATAAGAGCAGATGCTAAAGAGACGTAAGGTATAACCACAGCCGACGTCAACCACGAGCCGTGATGAAAGAAAGGCAACACCGCGCTCGGACGGCATGGTAGTGCTACCTGTAACGTTCAAGAACTAAATTTAATTTTGGAAAAGAGGACAGTTCGATTCGATACAAATCGTCTGAATATGAAATAGCTCTAAAAAATTTAAAAATACGAAATAATCGTGATATATATGAGTCGCTAATGCAGTTAACCTAATTAAAAGTATTTAGTTTACGTGTTTTGGTGTCAGCACACTGTGTTCCAACAGGCCCAGCTTGGAAATGTGGAGTTACCTGTTTGTTTTTAATACATTTACTTTCAGTTTTACTGTTATTTTTCAATTTTACATAAGCATTCAAAATTATGTTTGAAAAAATAGACAAAAGCTTAGATAAAATATCTGCATAATTGCGGCCACAGATGCAAGTTAAAGAAAATTCACTGTATATAAAGTCAGACTGAATGCCGAGCAAGGTTAACTGACACAAAATAAATTTTTGATTATTGCTTTTCAAGAAGAAAATTTCCAGTCTATCTACATTAATAATAGATTCAAAAATGGTATGCATATGGTAGAATATGATTGGTACATAACTGGTTGGAATTGACAGTCCTCCTCTTTGCAAATGATCAAAATAAACATTTGTTGTTAATGAACCTTTTTCTTTAACTATTAGCGATTTGCATATCTCGCAGTTTAGGTTTTTAGAGATAGCGTGTGAAGCATATATAAGTCTTAGTACTATCCTCTATGTCACAATTGGCTAAGTAATTTGTCTCAAATACTTCATTCAATATATCCAAAACTTCAGGATTTTGTTTGGTATCCAAGAAATCAAAATTTTCTTGAGTTTCTAAGCAGTGGAACCTTGTTTTAATTTCTGCTAAAGAAAATGACGATTTCTTTGCATTGAAAATATGCTTCAGCCGTATTTTCTTTTCAGCATTTAAAATTTCATCATATGACACATTGTAATTGCAGTCACATAAAAGTCTATAATTGCCAAATCGTTTTTCTAAATTATCAGTGGTGAATTTTCCAGGCAATACATACTCAATGTCAAATTGATTAAATGAATATTCAATTATATTAAGTAGAGTCAGCGTGCTTTGATATAGAGCTGTATACGTTTCTGGTGTCAGGTGTCCATTATTATTCTCTAGATTATGCCATTTTTCTAACCATGTCAGAAATTTTTTTAAAAATTGTACTCTATAATCATATTTATTGGTAATAGGCTTACAAAATTCGTTTCGCTTCAATTCTCCTTTTATTACACTTGTATTACTGACAATATCCCACCAATTCCTGATTATTTCCAAAAAGTGTGCAGCATCATTAAACTTTAATTCTTTCACAGCAGCTATTGTTGAGTGATGGAATAAATTATCTACAAAATTTACATTTTGCCTTTCAAATGAATTTGGATGCAATGTTTTATAATCTAATTTATATGCTTTCTTAACTACAGCTTCTTTTTCCAATTGATATACAGCACGAATGTTTTCAAATTTAGCATACTGAATAATATCATTATTGTCAAAATTAGGATATACAAAAGTTTTGTCTAGGTTTTTTAAATTAATCCAATTATTTCTGATACTCTTGAAAATATGCACAACATCATAAGTTAAATATATGTTCTTATCAGGATTATGTGGATTTGGAATAGAATAATTTTCTGATGAATCCTTTGCTAATTTCCTGAACATTGCTCTATTAATTCGGTGATTATCAGTAACAACACAAATAACTTCAAATCCACATTTTTGAACTAAATTTATCTTTGATCTCATCCATATCATCGAAATTCTGGATAGCTTTTTCATGTTCCTCAATTAATTTTTGTTTTCTTTGCATTGGGTTAGTTCTTTTGGGTGCTTCAGTTTTTGAAAGATATGATGGCAAGTTTGGGAAAATGGAGAGAACAGCATTTTCTTTCAATTTTGGATATTTCAAAGGTATATTATTTCGGACTGTTCCATCCGCCAAAACTATATTTTCTGTCCCGATGATATCCGATTCTCTAAAATGACGTCTGCACACAGCTGAATATTTTGAAGGTGTCCAATTTTTTCTGGGAATTGCCATAAGCCATTTGTTTTTCAGACTTTCGGTACTTGGGAAGCGAAAAGTTGAAACATAGTTTTCTGTTTTCAAAGCAGAATTATGGTTTGCATTGCATAAAGGAACACAGCAACAACGAGGCATATTGTATGCGTCAAATACTTGATAAATGAAAAAAGAAAAATACAACCTGAATTTGCACGTTTTCAATAGTTGAAGACCTTAGCGTCCTGAGGCGCGAACAGCCACAGTCACACTTCTTAGTTTATTTTTAAAGCACAGAAGCACTACAACTGGAGTCTATTTCTCATATATTATAGTCACCGATCACTTTGAACACATACACACACTTTGAAGCTTAGAAAACAAGCTTATCTCTTAATTACAGCCTCTGCGATTCCAAAATCACAAATTGAAAAGGTTATGCTTTCTCAGCGTTTTGAGCACGAGTTGCGTCGATGCAGCAAGCAGCGGCGGGAGTAACACTACCACTTACGTTGCCAGATTTCTTTGTTCACGGCTCGTAGTTGACGTCGGCTGTGGTATAACTAACAATTTGGCGATTTCTTGCAGCCAAGTTATTGATGTATTAAAATTTCTTCAGTTTATTTAAAATACATTCTGGCTTCTTATTCACTAAAATTTTATGAACCAAACATAAATTTTGTTTTTTTTTTCTGAGGTTCTTCATGTTCATGTTACAATTCTCTTTGTACACGTGGCAAATTTCCGTAGATAGAGCATCACACATTATCAATTTACTGTTTATTTCTTTGAGGATATATTTGTTTGAGAATACTATATGGTTTTCAACATAATTCTTTAATATGGAAATCAAATTTTAGTTCATTGTCCAACCATAACCCTACATTTTTGGTAATGTCTACAGCTAATAATGGAATTTTATTAATTGCTAATTGACAAAGGTTTT